GCATAATTTGTATAAATTCACATAACTGGTTTAGTTTGCAGTGAAATACCAATTTAATGGACAAACCCTTGATTTGGTAAACATTATTAAATAGGAGTGGGGTCCAAAAGGGAAAAAAAATCTATAGTATCTAGAATCTGTGAAGCTGCAGTCCATTAAACCAAGAATTTACTGTATACAATACAATCGAACATGCACACTACTCAATTTTATTCTTTGATCTTTCTACGAAAATAATTAAACTATCAGCAGCCAAGTAGAATATTTAAATATACAAAAGCTATTTAGATTTTGTAATACTGAATGATCATTAAGATGGAAAGTTCCTCAAAGATAATCTAGCCTACCCCTGCAGGAAATCCACTACTATACAGAGAATAATCAAATTTCAAGCAATGCGTTAAGAAAATATCTACAAGTTTATTGGGGGTGGGTGGGTGGAGGGGCCTGTTGAGTGATTCAGGTTCAGAGGATATCCCTCTGGGAACTCTGGATTTCAGTTAGTAATTTGTAAGAATTTAAAATAATTTAGCCAATTAAATCCAATTAGTTTAATTTACCTAACTCTCAGCTACTGGAAAATAATCCACCAATGGGAGAAAACTATACCTGCCTAGGAGCCAAAGTTGAACGACTGATTCCTGGGCAAGATCAGTCAAGACTGGGATCTCGTGGTCCAGGACAGGCATGGCAACTTTGGCTGACTGATCTGATTGGGCAGGAATACAGTCTCAACCCATTGGTGGATTATCCATCTCCAGTGCTGGAGAATTTGTATTTTAGATTATGTGTGGCCAAGAACATAACATCTATCAGCAAACTGGCCTCAAGAAGAGATAGCTAATGTAAAGAAATTGCTGAGTATGTTAAATGAATGTCTCCATGCTCTGAATACCATTTTCCCCTCTAATCTGAATCACTCCACAGTCTATTATCTATACCTCAGCTTTCAAGTTTAGAAAAGACACTTAGCCTATGCAGATCCACTAATCTATTAAGACAATCTTTTTCCAACTACTGTCCAATGGGAAAGGATCTTGCACCAGTGGTTTTACTTAAGCAGTGGTAAACTTTTCTGAAATAAAATTAAAATGCTTAAATGTAATACTTGATAGGACCATGCATACTCAAAAATACCATTTTTTCCTTGTAACTAAAAATATGTTGCTGCAGCTATAGTCTATATATACTATATACAGCATAATGCAATATGCCAGAGGTCCCCAACCTTTTGGGCAGCAGGGACCGGTTCCATGGAGAGAAGTTTTTACCCAGACTGGAGAGTGCATGGTTTCATGAGCTGCCTACAATCCATGGATGGGGCTTTGCTTGTTTGTGTGGATCGGTTGCTGGCATGCCGCGGCCTGGAACCAGTCCACGGACCAGAGGGTTGGGGACCCCTGCAATATGCTTTGTAACATAACTGTAATGGCAATCTTGCTTAAGTGCTGAATAATTTATTTAAAATTTTATTTAAAATTTAACTTCTACTTTTCTAACGAATGAATTGCCTATGTTTAAAAAAGACTCTATGATTGCTAACAAAGGCCACAAATCATGTAGAATGTATAGAATTCTTGATGCATTCGAAGAAAAATGACATGATAGAATGTACATTTTCATCAGACTGAGGGTTACAGTATTATAGACTTTTCACACTTTTCTTAAATTCAAATACCATTAACCCAACCTTTCCATTAGTCCTTTCACTTTGAACAAACTCAGTGGACTACAGCGGTAATAATTTATCAGCACAAAGCAGCCACGTAAGCCACTTAAATATCTCCATGGTACTAATAAGAGTAATATTTTAATAAAGGGAGGATTTAAGAGGAGTATTCAATGTTTTAGACTATTTTCTAAAGTGCCAGAAATAATTTAAAAAATCTTTTACCTTGGAGCATCTCATATCAACAAACTTTCCTTTCCCTCAGATATAAGTAAATTACACAGGAGAAAAGACTACAGAAGGTTTTTTTTGTGTGTGGTTCCACCAGCCTCAAATGCTTACAGAATAATTTGGCTTTGCCCTAGTCTATAACATCTATACATATGGCTTAAGGTACAAAATAAAAGACTGCCACAAAAGTACTGTTTATATAGTTCCTAAGCCTAATTGTATATCCTATTCTAATAGAATTTTGCAGTTTTTTTTAAAAGGACTTGATTGTATGAAAGAATATGAAAAGAAATACAATTAATTTAGTACTGAATTTCCAAATCATACTGCAGGCCTAACATTTTCCTCTAAAAAAGGAGGAGAAAGAATTGGATGTCCGAATGCAGAACTAAACAAATGCCTTCATTTTTCAACATATGGCAACTTGCTCTAAATTATTTTAGAATCTTTCTAATAGTCTCAGAAAACATCTGCTCTCCCCGGTGACTACCAAAGTCTCTTCCAATCTGGCAGAAAAAATGCAAGTGGAAGACTAGCTACAGAGGTCAGGTGGATGCAGGTAGGAAATGGAAAAAATCCAAAGACAAAACAAGCTGGCAACAAGAAACATTTTCCCATCAAAAATATGCTTCCACATTAATCTGTTTAAACAAATGCATAAAGCCGTACCTTAAAAACCTAGACTGTCATCGCAGTGCTACAAATACAACAGTAAGATGCAAAACTTCTGCAAAAACTCTCTCAAAGGCCAAAAGTTATCTATTTTTTTTTTAAAAAAAGCTTGGTTTATCTTGGTATTAGCTCTAACCAAGAATAAAACAATGACTAGAAATAAGTGGATACCGAAGCGCAAGAGTTGTATAAATATACAAAGAACGCCTTCTACAACCTACTTCCATTCAATTATGAATGGATTAGCCATCTATTATGGTGGCCATAGAATTCAAGAACACTTTTTTCTTTTGCTCTTTTTAACAGGATGGTAAAGTACTTTCTAGCTTAATGGATACTTGTGACATTAGTTTCATAGTATAACAACTTGTATCGTACGGGGATCAAACTGTGTGACCTAAAAACATTTTGTGTTTCCCAGATAATCATCAAAACAGATTGTATTCAGACACCGTGCAAGGAAAGAAAAATCTATGACTCTATATGTAGCGAAAAATATGGAATAGGAATGGGGCAAAAGTCAATATAGGCCTTAAAATGCAGTTTATGAAAGCAAAGACGTATTTAGAAATATGGGCAATTATACAATATTATGCAGTTCTAAAAACAAGGTTAAGAGCAGTTGAAAGGATCATTTAATGTAGTCTTATCTTTTAAGGTTAGGGTTCTTACATTCTGCTGAACACAGCACTTAGTTTGCTGGACTTGATGTATTCCACGGCACCTACTAATTACAAATTCCACCAAGAATTTTCTGCTGCCGTTATTAATGCAGAACCATTAATATGCCCAGGAAAGCAGAACAGAAACATAAACTACCTATACATTTTATTTAAAATGTGATAAAATTGGACCTCTCTATCCCAACTTGATAAAAGGATACAGTTTATTTATGGTACAAATAAAGCACTATTAATAAGAAATAGAATTCTAAAGAGAAAAGTTAAGCAAGAACTACTGGAACTGGTCAGCTTAGTAAAGACCAAGAATCGTTTGCTTTGCAGAGTAAGTTTCACAATATTGTGTTTCCATTGATCAAAGTCTAGAAGAACAATACAAAGATCTTCCTCAAACGAGTTTATTATCAGTCTACATAATATCCAACTTGTTAATGAAGCCAACTGATTTTATAATGAAAAGTTAAAAACAGTCACCAAGATTCATGGAAAAAAGAACTTGCAGAGTTACATGAAATGTGGCTTTGCAATAACTTTAAATTTCTGGTTTTTCAAGCCCCTTCATTTGCAGAAGAATAGTGGATTCGTTTACAGCATGCTACAATACCTTGAGTGAACAGTCTTTTTGTAAATGGAATACATCTACTATATACAAATGCACTTTGAGGTCTTAACCGTACAACCCAAAATAAGCAGCAGAGATATTAGCTTAAGGTAAAGGTAGACTTTTACTCCTAGTGATGTCATCTATACATCCATGTAGTTTTCTTTGGACTGAGAACATCCTTCTGCAATGTTTTTTTCAACTGCCCAGTCTAACATGCAACCATGGTGTTTATTTATTTACTGTAGATTAAATGCTGCTCCTATTAGGAGACTCCGAGCAGCTTACCATGCATTTACAGTAATAAAATCACAAACCATTAGACCTAGCGAACACCCATGGCATACTCTTCTGACCTCAGGAACAGGTGTCTACATCTTCGGGAGTACTTTAACATTCAATCTCTTTCCCTTCTGAAGAACACTTTTTCTTCTGTCTGCAGGAGAGTTATTCTAAAGAAGATATTCCCTGGAGGTCTCCTGGCCAAGTACAAACCATGGCAGACCCTGCTGAGCCTAGACAAAGTTGGCCAGATGCTGTCACCTTCTAAGACAATGTTGGCTTAGTTTTATTCAAATAGTTGATGCAAAACCAACATTTCTCTTAAGTTATGTATATTGGTATCAGGCTAATAAGGCCTTCCAGATGAAGACTTCATCAGACCGATAACTCATAAGGGTCTACTGTTCATATGTACCAATGATCTGGCTCTGAAATTAGAAAAAGAATCTACAACATTTAATAAAACCAATAAAGATAATTTTTGATCCCCATCAAATTATTTATGGGCCATGAATAAAATGGTTACTTTAAGGGTCAGGATCAGAATTCACTGCCACTGCCACAAAGTCACCATAAATTTCTAAGTACTGATAAGAACTTAGAAGTACTTACTACTAATAAGTTTATTAATTCTCCATTCAAATTATATGAAGAATGATCAAAGTCAATGCAAAATTATTCGACTTACTCTATTTTGTAGAACTATGCTCTCAACTCAGTTCTGATACATTTCTGTGCTAATTTTGTTGTAATTCTATGGGTCTTGGTGGCAAACCCAGAAAAAAAAGAGACTTTTTTGTTAAGTCAATCTCATTTAAATCTTTGGCCACCCATTTCTTAATTTATTATCAAGAAGCATACTTACGGTTGGCATAGCTTTACTAAATCCTGGTCAGTGGTATTTGGAGGCAGCCCTCTGATATACAGGTTTGTTTTACTTAATTGATCCCATCCTGAGTTGCTGCTGCTGCTGCTGTTGTTATTGCTGCTGGTGATACTGGGGCTAGGAGGAGCCATTGGATGGGCAGGCACAATGGGCTGCTGCAAAATGAAAGGAAGAATGTTTCAGAAGGGACAATAAGGAGAGTGGTTTGAAGACATACTAAGAAAACCTTGAAGCCTCTTAAAAGAACATAGACATTCTCAGAACCCTGAATTTCATGGAGCCGTGGCTCTACATTCCAAATATTCTTGATTTCCAAGTATTTACAGGTTTTGCAGTATAACTACAAGTCCATCTCACGAGGGACTTCATCATTCCAAATCCTGGCACGGAGTACTCAGTATTTTCTCTAACTTTTAATATAGCACAAACAAAATATATTTCTAAGGAGTTTAACTGAGTTTTAACCCTCTGGAAGTGAAATCTCAAAAATAAACTTTATGCATATCCTATAGCAGTGGTGGCGAACCTATCGCATGTGTGCCAGAGAGGGCACTCAGAGCCCTCTCTGTGGGAACGCACACCGTTGCCCCAGCCCCGCCTCCCCCCCACCCCCTCCTTACCAGAAGCACCCCGAGAGGAGAGTCACCCCCAGGTGTGGCCTGCACAAAGCAGCGCAGCCAATGACATGGCAGCCGGCCAGCGGGGACAAGACTCTATCCTCGCGCCCCATCATGTGCAGATGATGCTGTGGGGTGTGGGCGTGGCCACCTGGGTGATCTGCGGCGGGCCGTGGAGGCGGTGGGTGGCCCTGCGGGCAGGCAGGGGGCAGAGCAGGGGTAGGGGGCAGGGTGGGGGCGGGTTTTGGGCACTCAGTCTCTAAAAGGTTCACCATCACTGTCCTATAGCAATGTTACTGTTCTTTCTCTGCAGCATAAAGAGAACTTCAACCATTCTGCATTGCTCATAAATTACACTATGCAATACTCTTCTAGTGTTAAAATCAGAAAATAAACAGGTGAAAAATACAGACAAGTTGTAATTAGTACTTCCACAAAAAAATATTTTCTTAGTACTTCCAGAAGCTGGCTTGGCTATTAAAAGAAAGTGAGCTGAGAAACCTTTCATTACATTTGAAACAGAGCTATTGACCTTGATGTTTTCACAGTCTATCTTATGCTAACTTAAGAAATTCATCTATCTTGTTTATAAGAGACCCTTTGAAAAGACTGAGAGGAAGTTCTTCTGGTCATACACAAATACAATACTCTCTACTATTAATTAAAGCAGACAGATTCTTTCTCAGGCTTCATCATGGGTTAAAAAAAAAATATTGTTTTGATTAAAGCCAATACAAGTCTTAAATAATGCTTACAGTTTGACCTATAGTCTAGTGATTTCCTGATGATTTCTCATATAAGCACTAACCAGCTCTGGCCCTACGTTTTTGTGAAATTAAAACAACTGAGCAAAATAAAAAGACAAGAATGATCAAAAGGTAAGAAGCAGGCTCTATTCTGACCTATTATGTTGCTGAATGGAATATATTCTAAACTTAGAAAAGAATAATCTTGAAACTTATTCATTTTAAGGTACATTTTAAAAAGATGCGAGGGGAGAAAATTATGGTTTTAATTATTTGAAAGTATTTTCTCCTCCAAAGTACCTTCTTTAAATATGGAACAGAAAAAGAAAAAAAGAAAAAAAATGTGGTCAATCACTACAAAGTCAGTTTCATATTTGATTCATTGCTTATCTTTGAATTATTTGTAGCTTGATTAGATTCAAAAGGTTATGCAAGAAAAATATTTCAGTGCAAAAAAAAAAGGTCAAGATACAAACAGCGTTTTCCAAATTCTCCACTATGGAAGAAGATACTAATATTCTCAAGCTGAGATTTCCTGCCTGCCCCAGCCATTCTGTTCTTCCAGAACCCCTTTCTTAACCACAGTTAAATATTATATCATGCTGATGTAAATAACAGTTAATGCTAAACAACAAATCCTCTTTACTAGAGGATTCAAACCACAGTTGAAACTGGTGTGTAAATTTTGCTTAAGATAAAACCAATGGTTAATGTTGATTTGATGTAGTCTTAAAGGCCATAATTAAGGATGGCCAGTAAAGACTGCTTCCAACTTCTCACCTTACGGGGCTGCATGTATTAAGTTTGTACTTATCAAGTTTTATAGGCCCTACCACACGGGTGATCTTTTATATTAAGCCTTTCTGAACGAGAAAAGGCATTCCTTTTCACAAGGCAGAATTACCAAATCAGAAAGAAGTGTAAATCTTGCCTGCAGACATAATTGTCCCATTTATGCTATTTCCTGATATATAATTTAAACTGTAGCAGAAATGCCTGAATTAACTTGACATTAAAAGGATTCATTTCTATGGCAGAGGTGCAGTTGAAGTTATTTCAAAAACAGAAATACAAAGATCTGAAAGGAAGGCTACTTACTTTTAAAGTAAAAGGCACTATACATCTGAGGAAAGATGTGTCTTCCTGGCCTTCCACCATATAGCTACTTACAACTTTGCAATTAACATACTGCTGTAATTCTGATACTGACAGAGCCTGAGAGAAAGTGGACAAGGATTTGTTGGAACACTACCACACTTTTCTAACAATTACAATGATGCCAAGCAGAAGCACAAACTCATGACAAAATGTAACATAAGGCCGTTACAATTTTTTATGAGTTCCCAGAGATGTTTTAAATTGGGTTCTGAAGAATGGGGTGCCTCTTCAAAGCCTTAAGGGCATCTCAGCATTTCCAAGCATTACCGACCTCTGCCTAGGAAAACAGAATGTATGATGTGCAACTTGAACTGATCGTAAATCATCTTGTCTGGAGAATTAAGTTTAAAAATGTGGTTAAGTGGATGATTCAGCTCAAACTATCGAATTAGTAAGAATTCAATTGTCATTTTTGTTAAGTGATGAAAAAGTAATAATGGAGAAAATAAGAGTTCGATATACAGGCAGTCCTCCATTTAACAATCATTTGTCTAATGACCGTTTGAGGTTATAATGGCACTGAAGAAAATGATTTATGACTGTTTTTACACTTACAATCATCCCCATGGTCACGTGATCAATATGCGGTTGCTTGGTAACCGGATTTAATAATAGTAGTAAAGTTGGATAGGACCTTGGAGGTCATCTAGTCCAACCCCCTGCTCGGGCAGGAAACCCTACACCAGTGATGGGCAACCTTTTCGGCGTGGTGTGTCAAAATTCGGCAAAAAATTGAGCATAACTCGCGTGGTGTGTCACTTCGACAAAAAAACACAATTTTGCGCAATTTATAGTTTAAACTACAAAAATGTATAATTGCAATATATAATTGTATTTAATAAACCAAAAACAAATTATTTAACATACCTGCTTAGTAACTTCTTTGTTCATCAATCTGTCGATTTCGTATGTTGCCCTTGATATTATTGAACTTGTTTGGGGTGCCGTGAACTGAGATAAGTGAGGGGGAGGGCGAATTCTTTAACTAACCTGCATATTAGTGACTTTTTTGTTGCTGAATTTCATTGGCTAAATCTTCAATTGAAGGTTGGTATTTTGTACACTTCAGGCTCAAGCAAGCGCTACTAACCTCATCTGTCAATCTGTTTCTTTTGTTGGTTTTGATATTATTTAATGCTGAGAATAAGGTCTCACAAAAGTACGTAGAAGGAAAAATTGTGAGTAAAGCTGTTGCTATATTTTTCAGGGTGCTAAAAGTGTCTGGTAGTCTGTTCCAGGCACTCCAAATTTCCTGTTCGTAGTGGCACTCATCTTGATTCTCCAAGCGGCCCCTTTCCAGATTCTCAAGCTTTGACCTCAAGTCGACAAACACCTGAGCCCAGATGCTGTCTTGAAATTCTGCAAGCTGCATCTCCAAATCATCTATTTGCGTCCATTGGAAACCATTTAATTCCAAACTATTGTAGACTACTACATCAGGATACTTAATTATTCTCATGGTCTGTTCTAGGCTTCTAAATTGACTAAATCTATCAGTAAACTGGTCAAGTAACGAGTCTAAAACATGCTGGCACTTCATATGCAAGAGTTCCACTTCATTTCGTACAGCTGCACTGGCCTTCTCAAAATGCTTTTGTACTCGAGGAAAATACTTATACGTTTTAGTTTCTACATCTCGCTTGAAAATTTTTACTTTACTTTCAAAAGCTTTTATGTATCCAAACATAACATCAATACTTTTGCCAAAACCTTGTAACTTTAAGTTCAGTTCATTAACATGAACAGAGAGATCTGTAAAAAACATCAGGGTGTTGACCCACTTATCATCATTGAGATGAGGAAAGTTTCCCAGATCCTTATCTTCAAGAAATACCTTAATTTCTTCAAAGCACTCCACAAAGCGCTCAAGAACTTTGCCTCGGTTCAGCCATCTTACATTATTGTACATCAGCAGTCCACTGTAGGTGGAATCAACCTCCAGTAAAAGTGCTGAAAATTCTCGCTTGTGAAGGGGGCGAGCAGCTATTGTTGTTGTTAATTGCGAAGTCGTGTCCGACCCATCGCGACCCCATGGACAACGTTCCTCCAGGTCTTCCTGTCCTCTACCATCTTCTGGAGTCCATTTAAATTCACACCTACTGCTTCAGTGACTCCATCCAGCCATCTCATTCTCTGTCGTCCCCTTCTTCTATTGCCCTCAATCTTTCCCAGCATTAGGCTCTTCTCCAGTGAATCCTTCCTTCTCATTAGGTGGCCAAAGTACTTGAGTTTCAACTTCAGGATCTGGCCTTCTAAAGAGCAGTCGGGGTTGATCTCTTCTAGGACTGACCGGTTTGAACGCCTTGCAGTCCAAGGGACTCGCAGGAGTCTTCTCCAGCACCATAGTTCAAAGGCCTCAATTCTTTGGCGCTCAGCCTTTCTTATGATCCAACTTTCACAGCCATACATTGCAACTGGGAAAACCATGGCCTGGACTATACGCACTTTTGTTGGCAGGGTGATGTCTCTGCTTTTTAGTATGCTGTCTAGATTTGCCATAGCTTTCCTCCCCAGGAGCAAGCGTCTTTTAATTTCTTGGCTGCAGTCCCCATCTGAGGTGATCTTTGAGCCCAGAAAAATAAAATCTGTCACTACCTCCATTTCTTCCCCATCTATTTGCCAGGAATTGAGAGG